AATACGATTTTTAGCGATTTCTTGATAAATTTCACTTTTTTTCCAGTTTTTTTAATGCTTATAACTTTTGAAAGGAAGGTTATAGAAAAGACGGCGACCCTTCATTTTGTTCAAAATTTTGTGTTCTTTAAGTTAGTACTGTTAAAAACGAATTATTGCAAAGTCTTCTGAGACCTGAAAAATACGGTTTGGGGTTTTCTAAAAACCTTGCTACCTTAAATCATCAATGAAATTTTGGTATAGGATGCATTTGATAGAGTTCTTCATTGACTATCAGAATCACTATTTGGATTTCAGTTAGATGTTTGTTGTTATAGAAAAAATCAAAAATACATTTTCGTTTAAATTTTTGTCTTTGACTGTACTGTGACTGTTGATGTGAATCTTTTCTAGAAAAGATTTACGAAGTGTTGAATTCCGTCTAAAATTTGTTTTTTTATTTACGCTACTGGCAATGATTCAAAAATAATTTATTTTCCACATTGGCAATATTCATTTGATGAAATATGTCTCAAAAACGTAATGAATTATTAATTGAGTGTGATATTGAAAAAAAATGATTTTCATACAGAAATGTTGAAATGCATATATAATAAAAAGATGCACTAATATTTTATCATTCAAAATGACTTACTGAAATAGAAATAACAGATAGTAATGAGAAATATTTATTATCATTATTTCATGTTGATAATGTAGTTCGACAATATTTATGATGTTCAATAATATGTGATTTAACTTGGTTGAGTAAAGTTAAACGATATGGAAATGAAACTGTCCATGAAAAAAAGAAGCATATCAACGCATTATTTTTTTTTACACGCATATTTTTATTAGAACATGTCTATGTTTTGTACAACACATCAAAATAACTAAAAATCTAGTGAATCGCTATTTTCTTTTTTTATTTATTGAGAATGCAAAATAATAATTTATAGAATGCATTGTTTCTTAATCGAAATGAATCTTCTTTTCAATTCAACGTATTTGAATTGTGGAATATATTTATTTTTGTTTCATTTGGATAGATCCGAATTAAGGACATTTATTTTGACTTATCTAATAGAATTCAATCGTAGTTTTATATGGAAGCAGCATGCCTATATATATAATGAATAGAAGAAGAAATTTACATTTTATTTTTTGATGTATTTATCGTTTGATTGTGAAAAATAAATGGTAATATAGTTCGTAAAACTAACTCTATTATATTTTTTTTATTTTCATCTTTGATTTTTTCATAATAAATATTTTCTTTGTCTTTACCTTTTATATTTTAAAAGATCTATAAAAATAAATTAATACTCCAAAAGTAGAATAGTTAATGAAGCAATATTAAAAAAGAACCGCTATTTATTTATTCTTTTACTATTTGACCTTCCTTTAGATTGATAATATAGTAAAACATAAAACTTTTTTTTTTAAATTTAAAGAAAGTCTAATATCAGCTTGAAAACTCAGAATTTTCATTATTCATTTCATAGAAATAAATTATCAAGGTCAACTTTTTTATGTTATATTCAATTTGTAGAAATTTTTCTCAGACATAGATCTTCATTCATTTTCTTTGAAAATGTTTATTATTTCGGAGAATACACCTATTCATTTTTTCAATGAATGTTCTTTTATTTTACTTTGACTTGAATAACAAGATGTTTAAATAAAAAGAAATTTTATTTTGATAAAGCATGTTTCTCTTGAAAAAACGCTAATTAAAAAAGAGTTCTTTCAAATTGTTCATAAAAAAAACACGGTTAAACCCATCGAAAAAAAATCAATGCGTTTGAACGCACGAGTAATGGTTTTTCTACTGAATTTCTTTTTCATGGATGGTCTTTTACTTCTTCGAGTTTTTTTTAGATGACACTTTGGTGACAGTTGTCCTATATTGATATTATCAAATGATCGATGTTTTTCACGAAGCAATGAGACTGATGAAGATTCACCTGTTGTATTTGCTCGATATCGACTACAACTTCTACCAACAAGTGTTGCACGTGCATTGACGTCATAATGAACGAGATCGATTATTATTATTATCGTTCGATGTAGAATCAAAATCAATATATTCATTAGACATATTGCATTAAAATAATATTAACTAAAAGATAGAAAATTTTTCGAATAAAAATTTCTGAAATAAATATATTAATCTATTGTTATTAATAGAAGATATGATTTTTAAATGATTGCATATGAATGAAATAACACAATTGCATTTACATCGTATTATCTAAGTTTCATGTCAAAAAAAGTTGATAGATTACTAAATAAATAAATAAAAAGAAAAACAATGTTTCATGAGATTTTCTATTACATAAAACGAAAAAAATTTCATTTTGTTTTTTTTTCATAAATTTTTAATATTTCAACTGCATCTCATCAACTGATTCCAAAACTCTATTAATCACAGATTTCATTATCTGCTCAGATCCTAGCGGAATGATCTGTTCGAAAAAGAAAAGACGTATTCGATAGTAGTTTGTCAGGGCGTTGTAAGTTTTAGTCGACATATATTAATCTCTTAACTTATAATTATACTTTACAAGACCTCTTTCATTTCATTTTTCCTCAACAAATCACTAGAGCATATCCGAACAAGTTTCCATGGAAGTTCGAAGTGAATCTATAAGGAATTTTCGTTTTCTAAAAGTTATTTCTTTTGTTATCGAGATTTTTCAGCATAATAATAATAGGTAGTTGCTCTTACAGTGAATTGAACAGACGTGACAAATTTCTTAGCTTCAAGTTATCACAGACCATGACAGATGTTTTTGATATACGATTAAAGATTGTACCTAAATAACTTCTCGTTATAATATATGACCTACGTTCTGATTGCATTTCTCCATGAATAAGTAAAATGATGTTAAAGAAATGTATCCCAAAATAGATATAATAAAAGAGCAAGTGCATCGTGTTTCATACTTTAATTTTCAGGAATTGCACGAACAGCTTTTTCACATAAATTAGCAACAGCTTACGTGTACGGTAATACTCTGTCATTTAAGGTTACATGAAAATCATGATAATATATCTAATAATGATAGTAGACATATCGAATGATTTTGATCTTTTCTTTTTTAATAATCATTTGTGAGAATTAATCTGATATAGATGTTTTCTTTCATTTTATTTGTTTATTGAATTGAGAGTTTTGTTGACTAGATATTACAATTATTAAAAATAAATACTGCATAAGACAAGAATGAAATAGGATTTTCATTTACATCAATTCTAACTCCGATGGAATCGAGTTTCGAAGTCCAATGTAGGACTCTAATGGTTAACAATCTGATTAACCGTAAAATGAGGCATTGATTTTCAACATATGCACATGATATGAGACAATAAAAAGAAGAAAGAATGATTAAGGAAAAAAAATGGATCATTTTTTCATGTATGAAAGATTATTGATATAAATTATTCATTGAAAAAAAAGTGAACTGCTTTCTCGATAGATTATGCATATGAAAATATTAAAAGACAAGTTAATTAAAATGATTAATATGTTACAAACAAAGTAGAGATTTTTATTTTGTAAGAAAAAAAGAAAATTCATTAAATGTTTCTTTCTTTTTCAAACACGACTAAAGTCAAATAGAAAATAAATTAGTTTATACATGAATTTTGTTTTCCGCAGAATTTTTAGTTGTATTTGTCTTGTCAGTAGGTGGAACTAAAACTTCTAGAGTTCACACCGGAACGACACGATCACGCCAACGTTAATGCCACAAACACAATAATCTTTTTGCTTGTTCTAGAATTTCACTTGATATTATCATATACAGTCCACCCCCATTGAAAGTATACCCTTTGAATTCTTTGTTTTTTATTAATATACGTTTTTTATCTATCAATCTACTATATATAGGAAGAAAGTCCAAAATGCGCTGCGTCTTTTGATATATTTACATTGATCATCAAATGCAGTTTAAAGTATGAAAGGTGTATTAGAAGAAAAAGTCATTTTTTCTTTTTTGCCACAGTGTTCATAATGTTGTAACATTTTTTATTTAGCATATATCTCGACTTAGGTAAATGATAAAACGTTGAATTTTTTTCCACAAGATGCGCCGTGAAAAGCTCTACAAAAGCTGCATGATCAAATTCTTTTTTTATCTACTCTAGTGGTTTTTCTGATACTCACAATGAAACAACTTACATAGCAGTATCACTGCTCATCACGTAGAAAACGTTTCGAGGACTTCTCTGATTCACTGATAGGACTTGGTCTATACAAGTTTTGTAGAGCTTTCGACGCCATACCTTTTTTAAAAAGAATTCCATATTTCCGTTATTTCCCCAAGTCAAGATATATGGCGATTAAAAAAGTCTTCCAACAGTTCCAGTATGATGGGAAGTGCCACTGGCATGTAATTTGTTCATTTTGAGTATTAGAAACATCACTAGAACAGGTAAAAAAAAGAATTCAATTATGCACCTTTTGTAGAGCTTTTCACGGCGCATCTTTTGGAAAAAATTTAACGTTTTATCATTTACCTAAGTCGAGATATATGCGAAATAAAAAATGTTACAACATTATGAACACTGTGGCAAAAAAGAAAAAATGACTTTTTCTTCTAATACACCTTTCATACTTTAAACTGCATTTGATGGTCAATGTAAATATATCAAAAGATGCAGCGCATTTCGGACTTTCTTCCTATATGTAGTAGGTTGATAGATAAAAAACGTATATTAATAAAAAACAAAGAATTCAAAGGGTATACTTTCAATGTGCGTGGACTATAAATATAAAAATCAGCACAATATATTGAATATAAAATAAACAAATAGCAATTAAATGAAAAAATTGAACAACATTTTCTTGATCTCTTACTTCGAATAACTTGCATTGTTAATGATAGATAAAGATTGATTATTGCAAATGGAACAGAATCAATGGAATTTGTTATTACTTGAAACATGAACATTCGAGTTATTTGTTTATCAAACCGTTGTATGTATTGTTGATTATTTAACGTTCAAATATGTTGTCATGTTATACACCAAAAATAAATCGGTAAAACTTCTTCAAGAATTGAATGATAAACTAAAATTGCAATCAATAGAAACATTGTTGATTTTGAAGTACATATATAAGATCCATTAGGTCCGAGAGGAATATTTTCAAAAAGAATAGCTATTGGTAAACTAATGAAATACCAAGCATTTACTAATCCAATAACAACTAAATATATAAAGAAATTTTTGCTTGAACTTAATGATCGAGATGATATTGCATAACGATCAAATGATATAAAACAATTGATAATAAATAATGACGTCACAGTACATACGGTATAACTCATTTGATATTTACAAAATGGTGCATTTAATGCAAATACATTTATTTGAAAACCAAATACAAGAATATTTGGTAAATATCCGGTTGGCGCATAAGTTCTGCACGTTTGAATCAGTAGAATTATATCGTCAATATAAAACTACATTTTAAGGAAAGTAATTATATATTCTAAAAGCGCTCGGAATTCTCTATCACCCTATATATTTAAGTCTTGACTTGCATTTATTTGCTGAAAAATATTTCAAGTACACTGAAGACACCCTCACCCGCAGATTTCCACGAACTTCATTTTTTGTTCCTTTTTTATATGTTTTTAAAATTTTTATCTATACAGTAATCCATTTTTTTAGAAAAGTAATTGTATATTCTGAGAGCTCTTGAAATGCTCTATCATCCTGTATATTCAGTGTTGGTTTGAACTTATTTTCTGAGAAATGTTTCGAACATTGTCAATGAGGGTGAGGGTGTCTTCGGTGTACTCGAAATATTTTTCAGCAAATAAATGCAAGTCAAGACTTAAATATATAGGGTGATAGAGAATTCCGAGCGCTATTAGAATATATAATTACGTTCCTTAAAATGTAGTTTTATATTGGCGATATAATTCTACGGATCTAAACGTGCAGAACTTATGCGCCAACCGAATAATAAAATGGTAAAAATAAAAATGATAGAATTACATTGACAATTATATAAATTGAACTTAGATTTTGATTTAATGGATTTCGACTAAATATTAAAATAATCATCAATGAATCAAACATTTCAATACGCATCAATGATAATCCTGTATAGATCAATATTTGACGTGCTACTAGAACAAAAATTGTTGTCGAAAAGAGCATTTATTTTGTCCTAAATCGTCGATATCAAATTGTACTAGTTTTATCTTATTGAAATAAAATAAAAGAGGAAATATATCTTTTACTTTTGTCACGTATTTCAATTACGTATTTGAAACAGAGTGGATAAGGTCAATATCAGTTTATTGACTTGAAAGAAACTGAAGTAGAATAGAATGAAAGATAGATAAAATGAAACGAAACAAGAGTAATTGACTCTTCAAAGAAAAGGCATGCATATATATGGCTATACCTTGATTGCGGACATTTTTTTCGACTAATTAAGGAAAAACGTCCGCAATCAAGAATCAGGGGGGAGAGAAAAAAATGTCCGCAAAGCAGAATCAGTAGGAGAGAAAAAGAATGACCGCATTGTGGAAACAAGACAAGATTTATTATATGAAAAAAATTACAGGGGAATAGTTATTGAAAAATAGTTGAACATCTAAATAGTTTTAGGTTCATAATCATAATCATCTTTGTCAGCTGTATCGAATAAATGAATATATCGATAAAAGAGTGGACGTCATTTTTTTTGATAACGATAGAGATCCAACAAGCCGTTTAAATATTCTTCTTTTGCTTGAATTAAAATATCATCATTCTTCACTGATCTAAGTCTTCTGGAACGTGTCGTACGTTGTTGAGCATATTCTTGATCAACCCGAACCATTGTTGATTCTTCAGATTCTTGGATGTATCTTATCCAACTATCTACATGGGTTATCTTACTGTATTTATTTTCAATTCTTTTCAAAATGCGGACACTTTTCTCTCTATATTCGATTCCAGACCGCGGCCATTTTCCAAACTGCGGTCAGTTTTGTCTCTCCCCCATGGTTCTTGATTGCGGACATTTTTTTCCACTAATAAAGAAAAAACGCCCGCAATCAAGAAGACACGTATATGTGTATTTATATATTATAATAACTCATACGGCAAAGTGAATGAGCAGAAAAAATTAAAAAAAAAAGAAATATAACAATAAAAATATTCTCATTATATGACAAGTTTGTTCTTGTTTCTTCTCGAGACCATTTTATTCTTGTTCTTTCTTCGTTGATTATTATTAATAAAATATGTACTCAGGACGAACAATCCAACTGTTGGATCCTACAGGAAATCCCAGATAATCCGACAACTTCCTATCGGAAGTTGTCGGATGTCAGATCTGATGGTTTCCGACAGTTGGAAAGTACTGGGTCCGATAAGATCGTGCTAGATTTATGTCGGTGAACCAAATATTAACTGCACCATGAATGCCTCACTCATCAGCTGTTTTACAATACATGAAATATATATATATATATATCTGGCTGATTAGTCTGACCGGATGTCCCAATTCTTTTTTGATTATGTTGTTTCTATAATGTGTCAGATATATAGGACTCTAAGCAACATAATCAAAAAGAGTTGGGACAGCCGGCCAAACTCTTCAGCACCGTTTCATGTCGTTCGAATCGACCCTAAATAACACAAACTGCTTTTTTTTGATAAAATAATGCTTACGTTTCCTTTCGATATCGAGATTACTCTGAAATAAAGAAAGCAAAATTTATTTCACTAAATAAAATACTTTCTGTTTCTTTCGATGTTGAGACAATATAAATGAAGGAAAAAATTTATTTTCTTGAAATAAATATTTACTATTCAGATTGAAACTTTGGATGAAAAATCTAAGTAAACAATATATATAAAACAAATAAGACCAATTTTTTAAACTTTTAGTTCATATACATTCTGCGAATTAGAATAGGCAAAATTAGATGTTTTCATGTCATCAGATTCATCGAATCCGATGGAATGAGTTCGACTTGGAAGGATGATGTCTAAACATCATTAATGTCGTTTCCATTGTGAATTATAAAGAGAGATTAACAACAACATGTTTGTATCTTCCAGTTAGTTCACTTTCAGACTTATATTACATAAAGTTTGGAACGATGGTTCATGACATCTCATAAAATCTTCAATTAAACTATCGAGCTACGATCCACTATCTCATTGTATCTGATTTTCCTTCGAATTTGTGTTTTATTTTTCTCTATTATTGCGTGGAAAAATCTTGTTGTATTCACTGATGTTTCATACATTGATTCATCTTTGTGTTTTGTTAGTATTTTCTTCTCTTACACTCACATCCACACCCTGTACCAAACATTGATACCAAAAGATAGCTTTTTACCGATAAGAATTTTTTTCTTTGTTTAGATAGGATATACAATGCTCAAAACGATCGGGTGCTGGCTGTAAACAAGGAAGAGACAGATAAGAAAGGGTGTGAGAATATACGAACATAAGAACTGTCAGTGCCAGTAATTTTCTGAAGATGAGGCGATGCATGTCGAAAGAGATATATTATTGAAATTCTTGTAATAGCTCTAAAATGTTAGGAAACAACTGGATATATCAACAAGATGATGCAAGACTTCACACATATCGTCTGAGTCAAAAATGGTGTGCTGATTATTTTCCTGCTTTCATACCGAAATGTCGTTGACCATCGAATTCACCTGATTTATATCCATTATAGTACAGTTTATAATATGAATTGTGACTATGTAACAACAAAGGCAATATTGATAGACGATATAAAACATTCAATCGAAAAAATTTTCAAATTTTGTACTTAATTTATATTTAATCAAAAAAAAATGGACTAGATTATATTTGTTAAATAAAATATACCATTTTGTACAGAATTTAAAGTACAATCTTTTGATAGACTTCATGGACATCAGAGATGTCTATCGTGGCAACGGCACGATTTTTTTGGAGCACATTGAAAAACTGCACGAATTTAATAGAATTTCCGGGGTTTACGGATGGAACATCGTTAGACTGAATGAATCTGATGGACTAGTACCACTATCTCTGGTCAAATATAATTGCAGCAGTGAAATTAGAAACACTTTTTTGAAAACCGCCGCGACTGAGGCACATTTATTTTACAATTTATTGCGGCAGCGGCAGATTTTCAGCCGCGATAGAAATCTCTTATGTATATTTGCTTCTTCCTACATGTTTATTTTAAAGAAAAATCACATATTGTTCATTTTTGTATTATTTAGCTTTGACTTTTAGAAATAAATATTTTTATCATTAGGAATTGATAAAACAAATATCAAAGACAAAAAGAGAAGCTATGTCAGTGAATCACTAGACGCAAATATTTGTTCAGTTGGTTTTTACCATCTATCTCAGGAATATTATTTTCAACTTTTTTTTTTTTTTTATTATGTCAAACTCAAAGTCTAAAATGATGACGTGTCTTGTTTATGATTGTCTATCATGGCATGGAATACATCGAGAAAAACATCACGTTTGTCATGCACACAATGTCTCTAAGTGGAAATATATAAATTGTATATTTTGATCTTAATCTCTAACAAATTTTTATTTTGTTTCTATTTACAACATTGATTGTCTTCAATATTCTCAGTTGATCTGAATTAATTAATTTTTTCAAATATGTCGACATTATCAAATTCAAATATTTTAATTCTTATAATTATGTCAATTTTATTTTTATCAATATATGGTCAAAATGAAAAACAACAAGATGATAATCTATGTCCAAAAATTAATAGTGTACTTTGTGTTAAAAAAGTTCTTTCGGAAATTGTAGATGCAGCTGAAGAGATCAATGATATAGCTAATAAAATTGAACAAAATATTGTAAGTATAATTTTAATATATTCTATTTTTTTTCAGATTTATATATCATATTTAATTTTTAGCTTAAGCGTGAACGTGAACTAAATTCAATAACTCTCGATAATCATATTAATCATAAAACGCAACGTATAAAGTCAAATTTACCAAAGTCAGATTATTATGATCAATTTAAGAATATTCAGAGTAATATTAATAAAGTATGTCATACTAAAATTGAATAATTTAATTATTTTTTTTTCTTTTAATTTTATATACATAGACGGATTTTATTCATTTAATTCAAGAAGAAAATTATGCTTTTAGTTATTTATATAAATCAATATATAATATTTTAAAAACAGAAGATATTTTTGGTACTTCAATTAATAATTTATTTAAAGAAATTTTAAATAATTTACAAAAAAATATTTTATGTAATTATCGAAGTATTTTACATGTTTATTCTCAATCATGGTTATCAGTAGATGAAATTAATGGTATTGAA